TAACTTAATTGACACTAAATATATTTTCGCAATTAACACTCTTTAGTAAATGTCCCTAAAACTTGTTGGTGAACTTTTAGCATTTCTTTGTTAGTGCATATTTATATGGGATGCGCAGTTAGTTATTTATAAATATTTATGTAACATTAAAAATAAAATATTAATTCTAATGGTAAACTATATTTATTTGAATTAAAAAGTGTCCTGTTTTGGACAAATTAAAAGGAAATACCATGAATATCATATCACTACCTATTCTAATTATTTCGAGGCAAGTGCACATAGGTATTTGGACATACATTTTGTTAAAATTTGAAAAACACCATATTTTGAAGTTGAAATTTTAAAAATAATATTTAAAAGTTAAAGTTATGTTTGGCATTGAAAAAAAAGAGTCAAAAGCATTACGAAGGGAAAAAGATACTTGAAAGTATGTCAAAACTTGAAATAACAAAAACTCATCTTTAAAAACTAACCAAAAAATAGATTTAATGCATAATCAAATTAAATTTGAAAATAGCTAAGAAGAAAAATCTGATCATGTCGAAACCCTTATTTCCTTATTTTTGTGTGTGTATATAAATATATGACCATCTATGCATGAATATGGGGAAGTAAATCAACTAGCTGACCATATATTCTTATGATATTATCTTGGTAAATTAATCATGGCTTTTGCATTATTATCATCACCATCACTTGTTTCAATTTGTGACAAATCTTTTATCAAACCTTCCTCTCTCACCCCTTCTACAAATAGATTTCACAAGCTATCTCTTGTGGATCAATCCTTCAGTAATTTGTATATTCCTATTGCATTTTTTTACCCTAAAGTAGAAGAAAGAGAAGAGTCAAATAATTCTCATGAACTTTCCCATATAGCTCATTTGCTACAAACATCTCTATCACAAACTCTAGTCTCTTATTATCCTTACGCTGGAAAATCGAAAGACAATGCTACTATTGATTGTAACGATATGGGAGCTGAGTTTTTGAGTGCTCGAATAAAGTGTCACATGTCTGAAATACTTGATTATCCTAATGCAGAGAGTATAGTTTTTCCCAAAGACTTGCCTTGGACGAATAATTATGAAGGTGGCAATTTACTTGTGGTGCAAGTAAGTAAATTTGATTGTGGGGGAATAGCAGTTAGTGTATGCTTATCGCATAAGATTGGTGATGGTTGCTCTGTACTTAATTTCTTTAATGACTGGGCTAGTCTCACTCGTGATCGCGCAACAACAACTCTGATTAATCCTTCTCCTAGATTTGTAGGAGATTCTATCTTCTCAGCACAAAATTATGGTCCTCTTGTTGATCAACGATTTGTGTCCGATCTCAATGAGTGCGTACAGAAAAGATTAGTTTTTCCTACTGCCAAGCTAAATGCCCTCCGAGCTAAGGTAATTAATCATACAACCAACTCAACAAGTCCATTATTATCTGCTTTTTTATGGTCTCCGACCTAAATGGTCACTTCTTTTTTTTAATTAACCAAAACGGATAAATTGCTCAGCACTTTTGGCTCTGGACATCATGTTACTATTGTTTTTTTTTTTTTTAGTTTCATACCTAAATCATACCTAAACTATAGAGTGTGAGTTTTATACATAAACTATCACTTAGTATTAGTTTGAGAAACACACATGTCTCTTTTATTACACTCTCATCATGGTGTGTAATACACCCTTTCTTTTATTTTAAAAAAATTAACACATCACACTCCACATGGACAAAAAATTAAATAAATTATTAATATTAGTTAAAGTTAAAGATTAAAGTATTACTATTTCCCAAAAAAAAATTTATAAAAAAATATAAATATTTCCCCACTCGATCACTTCCTCTCACCGTACTCCCCCACCCTAATTTTTTATTTTTAAAAAATCTCTTAAATAATAATTTAGATATTATTTTATTTTATTTTTAAAAATAATTCTATCCCACCCCATACAAACCTCTGCTTCTAATTTTTTCTCGTTTTGTAATCGGTATACATATATTATTAGAAAAATATTCTTTTACTTGCCGCAAGACTTTTTAAAATAAATTTTTTATTTGTGTTATATTTGGTACGCAGGTAGGAAAAAATATTTTCCTAAAAATATATGTACACATCTAACACAAAACAAGAAAAATGAAAAAAATAAATAAAATAAATTAGAAGCGGAGGATTGAGTGGGGTGGGATTATTTTTTTTAAAAAAATAATATCATTTTTTTTTTTAGGAATGAGTGGGTAAGGGGGTGAGAAAGATATTTGATATTTTATTAGTTTCAATTTATGTGAGATAATTTGAGTTGATATTCGGAATTGAAGGTAGCAGTGGAATCGGGAGTAGAAAATCCAACACGGGCTGAAGTTGTAAGCGCACTTCTTTTCAAGTGTGCAACAAAGGCAGCATCAAGTACAACCACTTTAATGCGCACATCAAAGTTGGTTAACTTCTTTGATGTACGTACTATGATGAAACCTCGTCTACCTCGTAGAGCTATTGGAAATGTCTTGTCCTTATTTTCCACGTCAGCAATCGATACTAATAATGAGCAAGAGATGAAATTGCCAAAATTGGTTCATAGTCTAAGGAAGGGAGTTGAAGTTGCATATAAGAAAGAGCAAGTCCAACAAAATGAACTCATCATGAAAAAAGGAAAAATGTTACTTGAAAATAAGGATGAAAACTGTAGTAATGTTTATCTCTGCAGTAATCTTTGCAGATATCCATTCTATAATGTGGATTTTGGATGGGGAAAACCTGAAAGAGTGTCTCTAGCAAATGGTCCCTTCAAGAATTCATTCTTCTTGATGGATTATAAAACTGGGCAAGGCGTAGAGGCGCGGGTAATGTTACACAAACAACATATGTCTGCATTTGAACGCGATAAGGAACTCCTTGAGTTTATTTCCTAATTAGCTCCAATAATATTAGTAGTATTTTCGTATAACGTGTTGTGTTGTTTGATATTTTCTTGTAGTAGTGCATATTAATAATGTTGTATTTTCTTGTAGTAGTGCATATTAATAATGTTGTCGTATATGTTAAAACTAACCAAAAATATACTATATGCTACTCATAGAATTAGTTGCAAGGAGACGAGGCAAATAGGGATATAGACCTAAAAACGTTGGTGAACAAATAATAATGATAAATAATAGGAATAAAAATGAAGGATCAAGACATGGTAGTAAATTAAATTATTATTATTTTCAAAAAATAACAAGAACTTCAAGATTTGAAATTTGGGTTTTACTCAATCCCAAAATTTAAGGGTAAACTAAGCAAATATTTTCATAAAAGTAAAATAATTACAAACATATATTCCTTTATATTGTGTCCGGCATCAAAACAGACACTTTTTGAACCCTAAACATCAAAAGGGGACTCATAAATGGGCGAACTCTCTGTTTTGGTGTGTGTTTTTAGAGAGGGTCCCTTTTGGTGTTTAGGGTTCAAAAAGTGTCCGTTTTTGTGCCAGACTCCTTTACATTCATTCCCCACTAAATAATTATATTATATACCCCAAACTAGTTCGCTTAATTGATACTGAAATCAGTATCATTTGTAGTCCCTTAAAGTTGTATGTATAATTCATTTAGATACCTCAACAAATCTTATTTTCTGTTAGACACTCCAACCTTAAAAAATAAATACTTATTGAACATTTTTCTAACACTTGGTCAAAAGAGAAAGTGCGTGTAATACACATGCATATGATGTGACAAAATAGCAAATCAAATGAAGACACGTGATATTTTAATTTAAAATAATTATAAAAATGAATTTTAAATATAAAGAAGTCAAAATCATAAAGGAAAAGACTTAAAACTAAAACTAAAAAAAATAGGAAAGAAATTATATACCCCTCAGTCCTCACCCCACCCCACTGCAAGCTTCTCCCTTTTTTCTCTTTCTCTAACAGTTCCACCATTGTTAATGCTTCATTTAGAAAAATTAGAGATTTTTAACATATGTTACGTGTGAATTTTAATAGATATTAATTCTAGTTAAGGTATCTAAATAAATTATGTGAACAATTTTAAGAGACAGTAGATGACTTATCTTATTAAAAAGACTACTCATCTATTAAATGATGGATATGAGAAAATTCACATATATCAAGCATAAATTGGCACATGCTCAAATTGGGACGAATGCCCCACACTAGCAAGTAGCAACCCAACTGGAAACATTAGTACAACAATAGCTTTGTCTTTGTATCGTCGTTGTACGTCCCCTTTTTAACCATACAAATTGTTCAATTATTGATTTTCTTTTTACGTTAATTGAAAAAATAGAATTAGCACCCCTTCAATCCAATTGATGTGGTAATATTTAAAATGGAAATGAAATGAAATTTTAAAAAAATTAAATTTATAATTTAAAAATATTTATGTGATGGTAAATCATTTTATTATAAATTTAAAAATTAAATTAAATAATTTTTTAATATAAAAAGGATAGTGCCATTATTATTCAGGCTAAAAGAAATTACAAATTATCTTATAAATTGGGAAGGACTAGAGTACGTAAATGAACCTATCTAGATATCACTAACTAGCTACCTTTCGTTTTTCCAAGTGTGCATAATTAATTGGTCCATAATTAATTGCATAATTTCCAAGTGTGACTATAAATTATTTTAAAGTTAAAATGTTACTCTTTGGCTCCATTTTATGTGGCACCCTTTTTTTTAATTCGTCCCAAAAACAAACAATGTCAACCCTCCTCTTCATGTGCTCCTTTGCGCATATGTATATGTTATATGTAGGACTCAATCCCATGACATCATCTGAACAATCCTCGTATCTTATATGTGGATAAGTGTGAGTGGAGAGAAAGGATATGAAGGAATCTTTTCATTTTTATTTTATTTTCTTTTTAAACAGAGTAAACAAAAAAAAAATATAGGACGGGTCAAAAATTATGTAAATTATGTCTCTCTCTCTATATATAGGAGAAATGGAGAGGCAATTCAACAAGCTTAATTACCATTGCATAGATGGCTTTTGCATTATTATCATCACCATCACTTGTCTCAATTTATGACAAAACCTTTATTAAACCTTCTTCTCTCACCCCTCCTACACTTAGACTTCACAAGTTATCTTTTGTGGATCAATCCTTCAGTAATATGTATATTCCTTTTGCATTTTTTTACCCTAAAGTAGAAGAAAGAGAAGAGTCAAATAATTCTCATGAACTTTCCCATATAGCTCACTTGCTACAAACATCTCTATCACAAACTTTAGTCTCTTACTATTCTTACGCTGGAAAATTGAGAGACAATGCTATTGTTGATTGTAACGATATGGGAGCGGAATTTTCAACTGTGCGAATAAAGTGTCACATGTCCGAAATACTTGATCATCCTTATGCATCTCATGCAGAGAGTATAGTTGATCATTATGCATCTCATCCTTAGATGCCTTTCGAGCTAAGGTAATACTATATACTACCATCAGGTTAAAAAAAATCATTTATTGACGATGAATATAACTTAAACTAAATTAACTAATAACATTTGGGCTCGTAATTTGAAGGTGGCAGTAGAATCAGGAGTAGAAAACCCAACACGGGCTGAAGTTATTAGCGCGTTGTTTTTCAAATGTGCAACAAAGGCAGCATCAAGTACTACAACTACTTCAAAGTTGGTTCACTACTTAAACGTACGTACTATGATGAAACCTCGTCTACCTCGAAGTGCCATTGGAAATGTCTTGTCAACAAGACATTGAGTTACCAACGTTGGTTCGTAATTTAAGGAAGGAAGTTGAGGTCGCGTACAAGAAAGATCAAGTCGAACAAAATGAACTTATCTTAGAAATAGTTGAATCCATAAAAAAAGGAAAAATACCATTTGAGGATGAAAATTGTAGTGTGTATTTTTGCAGCAATCTTTGTAAATTCCCATATTACAATGTAGATTTCGGATGGGGAAAACCTGAAAGAGTGAGTATACCAAATGGTCCTTTTAAGAATATATTCTTCTTCAAGGATTATCAAAATGGACAAGGCGCTGAGGCGCGGATAATGTTGAAGAAACATCATATGTCTGCATTTGAACGCGATGAGGAACTTCTTGAGTTAATAGACTCACCTCCATGTCTTTAGGAGTTTTATGTGTGTCTGTGTCTTCTCTTGAGTTTGAAGTCTGAATAAAAAAAAAAAAAAAGTCTTTCCATCTATTCAAGGTTGCGTGTTCTCGGACTTTACTAGTAGGATTATACTGTGTGTATGTATTTTTCATTGCTGTTATATATTGTCTTTAGGAGTAATAAATTGAAATCTGCATGCATGCATGTCGATGATTTCATTTCCACTGTGATTTCGCTCATTTCATTTTACTTCCAAGTTATTTGTTTGATGAGAAAAATTATGATTCATATTTTCTTCAAAATTCAAAATAAATTTTACTTTATTTGAGAATTAATATTTTATTTGAAAATTTTAAAATTAAATTTGAACTTACGTTTCAAATTTAAAAAACAACTTATAGTCTATTTTCTAACTCACTTTCAAAAAATAGCAGTACATTCAAATATAAAAATTATTTCAATTACTATAATATAATATGAGAAATAGGGAGGCAGATTACAATTGTTAAGCTAACTATATTGCAGGGGTGGACCTAGAGGTTGCCGAGGGGTTCACCCAAACTCTCTCGGCAAAAAATTATGTTGTATATTTAAGATATTTTTAAGAATTTTTATGTTTATATATTGATTTTGAACCTCTTGAAGGTAAGATTAGAGGTTGACTTAATTGTTGAGGGGTTCAAAACTCACCTCGAGGTTCCAAAATCAAATCTTAGGCACTACACCTTTTTTTTTCCGAACCCCCTTAATGGAAATATTTATTTAGCTACAGTATTTTATTTTAAATAACCTTTTTCATAGTTAAAAGGTTATTAATTAACTATGAAGTTTAATCATAACAAATTATATGTGGCTACATCATTTAACTACACTATTTTCTAATATAAAGAAAAATTATTTATTTAACTACAATATTTTGTTTCAAATAATTTTTTGTGTCTAAAATGTTACTATTACTATAATAAGTTTCAACTCATGAAAAAAAATGAATAATTAACTATGAAATTTTATTATAGCAAAAACGATGTGGTTATTTCATTTAATTATTGCCATAAATTTTTATAACTCTAAGTAAAAATATTTATTCACCTACATTATTTTATTTCAAATATATAATTTATTGTAGCTAATAAAATGTTACCATTGCAGAAATAATTTTTTTAGCTTGTCAAAAATTTATGGTTAGCCACAAAATATTACTCTATAGCAATAAATTGTAGTTATTTGTTTAATAATTGTAGAGAAAATGAGGAATTTGGTATAAAAGATTAATGGATAAATTTCTTTATAGTTATGAAATTCAAATACTTGTGGCTATTAGCGTGGCACATGATTAAATAGGAATGCAGCCCCACACCAATCAATTGCATTAATGACTTTGTCTTTGCATCGTCATTGGAGAGTATTGTTAAAAAATTAAGTTAAATAAGTAATGCATAAATGAACCTATAAATATCACTAACTAGCTACCTTCGTTTTTCCAAGTGTAGGATTTGGTCCTACACTCCTACTTATCTCCTTTTGCGTGTATAATGAAACAAAGATTTAAAAAAAATTATAATCTTATTAAAATTAAATGTTATAATTAAATATTTTGTTGTCAAATTTAAAGTTTAAAATCAAATCATTTTGGAATATTAAAAAAAAGAAGAGTTGTTGTAAAACAAGAGGAAAATATAAGAATACTAAACAATATAGGAAGACAAGTGGTGATGGAAAATATAAATCTCTTCAAGTGTGTATTTCCTAAGGGTGAAGACTACCTTTTATAGGATGTTTAAACCATCCTTTTACAACATTTGACAATACGTTACTATAATATTTAATTAATATAATAAATGGATACATTACGTTAGGATAGATTAAGAGAAACATCCACACAATTAAGTGGATTTGTAACACTCCCCCTT